ATAGATGCAAGATAGATACATTATATTAAAAAAATAATATATATAAAAATATAATTCAATTGTTAAAATACGTGACAAAAATTTTAGATTTAATTTGCTTCGTATTTTGAAGTCACCCTTTCGTTTAGCGATTATTAAATTCCTTTTGACAATTGCATTGTAATTATCACGTTTCTCTTTGGCGAGGAATTCGCGCGCGAGTGCAACTTCGTCCTCTAGGAACCATCGTAGGGGACCTCGGCATCGTCTGCATCGTCCTAGATAAGCTGTACCTTTAGCCTTGAGAATTTTGCGTTGAATGGGATACGGCGACGGACCAATGTCCTGTACACGAAATTTCACTCCTGGTCCACCGCTACCCAAAACGACGTTCGTCAAGGATGATGCAAACGGTGGGTTTCGCATATCATAGCGTTTCTCAGGATCTTGATCCTTTTCTTCGCAACAGAATCCATACGGTTTCTGTGGCAGCTGCGAGCGTGGCAATTTTGTGAGACTATGTTTACTCGACACCTTTTTCATATTGCCTTTCAATCGATCGTAGATTTAAAAAATATTTTCTAAGGAATCATTTAGTGACCAATTAATAGATTATCATAATATATTTTAAGTGTACTTTCAATATTTTAATAAATTCCATGATGTAAGAAGTTTTCTTACATCATGATCTCAATTCTTTTTATCATTTGTTGTCAAAATGAAACAGTTGAGAAATTTCATTAGTGAAAAACAATAATAAATAATTAATAATAATAAATAATAATAATAATCAGAATAATAATAATCATATTGCTGGAGATTTTTATATAATCGATCTCTTCAATTGTGACTTAAATCGTTTATTGTTAAAATTAAAATAACAATTGAAACAATTTTATGCTAAAAAGTTAATGAAAAATTTAATTATATGCTGGAGAGTGGAGAACAATATAATTCGGGCTTAAGAATGGGTTAGGAGGGTAAAATTTACCCCCATCATCTATTTTTCACCAATCACGTTCAATGTTAAAACGCTGATGTTTATATGAGGATCTGGATCTACGATGCCCGGTCCTAGATCTCAGCCCTCGTCACTGCTCGTCATTCATCATTCATGTTTCGAGACTTCGAAGTAAAAATTAGGTTAGATATCTAATGTTTAACATTGTGCGTGATTGTGTATGATTGTGCGATGGTGATAACATATGATCGATTATTGTAGGACTCGCAGATCGAATTATGAATTCATCTACCCTGTCGACGAGCACTTTAGGGCACTCGACGGGGCAGAGAACGCCAGAATCTCAGGACTCAGAACTGACCTCAAGCGCGACTCAAACATCCAAGATCTTGAATCAAATGAAATCTGAATTACAAGAACAGAAGCAGCGCAAACGATTCCTCAAGGAACTTCATACAAAACGCGTACAATCCTTGCGAAAGGAACTGGACTATCTTAAAGCGACAGAGTGGAGATATCAATCTATAGATCGGTAAATATCATGTTTTTTTCTGTCCCTAGTATTTTTAATTTTTCATTGCTTGGTTTCATTGATGACTTTACTTTTCTTATATACATTTCTATATTATTTAGACAAGAAGTACTTAGGATGTTTTTCAACAAAACATAGTACAACATATTATCCTTATTTAACATCAAACAACAAAGATATAATGATTTCCTGTGTTGCACTGTATCTATTAGCAAAGTAAAATATAACCATTTCAAATAATTAGTACATGTTATAGTCAATAATGATATTGTTACATTCTTTAACAGAGAATAGATATATATTATTTTATTGTAAAGTTATGTCAGTGCATTAGATACTAAAGCTTTGACTGCATGTTGTTATTCGCTATTAAATATTTACTAATAATTTCTTAAGGTTATTTTATTTGTGTGTTTTTATTGTATGACAAAGATTGCTACTTTTATTGTAGGTCAAAGTTTCACTACAAATGCTTTGAAACATTTAATTGACCAATCAAAAATTGCTTTAAAGCATTTGACCGTACTCAAAAACTTGTAAATGAGATAATAATCTTATATGATAGGTTTTCAATACTTGCAATGAATAACAGAATACAGTCTTTAAATTATACTAATCCAATACAAATAACCGAATTTATCATGTGCCTCTTGCTGGAAAGTATCCCTAGGCCATGTTCACTTGATGCTTGCAATGTTCTTGAAATTATTTTATCTTTTGTTGTTTATCAAATATTAGACAAAGATAAATAATGCTCATGAGTATTATGATTCTTTTAAATATCTAAATTATCTTTTATGTTCATAGGTACTTAGATAGGAGCCAGAAGAATTAAAGATGTTGTCGTTAATGTATAATGGGATTCAATATGCTATGAGCTATGTGTATCCAAAGGAGAGTACAAAGAATACAGATGAAGAAATAAATGAAGTTATATCTCGTATAGAGCTCGCAAATGAGATCAATACAAACAAAACTGAAAAGGAAGAAGAAGCACTGAACGAAGAAGGATGTTATTACAAGACGGGAAGTATTTCCCACATCTCTACAGATTGCATCCTTATAGATGATTCCTATATATACGATATAATCGATGATTCGACTAATAATCTCAAAGTAGGTGATAAGATTTATTACCTGCTATATCTACGGGATCCAAATACAAAGCCAAAAGTACGAAAAATTGTCTGTGTAATAGATGACGATTGGAATAATGAAAACATTAATGGAATAAAAAACAACACTTGTATGACATCGACGAGCATAGTTGTTAAAGTGACAAAACGCGAAGGTCGAATCGCCATTGTCGAGCCGAATAATATTCGCATTGACTTGTGCACAGTGCGATCCAACTTTATTCCCATAGTTGGTGATTGGTTGGTATTAGACTGCTTTGTCAAATTGAACAATGAATCTGAAGATTGGATGGGCGAAATCTTAGAGATTAATGGAATCAAACCGTTGCGATCTCAATTAAATTGTGGTGTGATATCAAAGTACAATCCAGAGAACAAGGTGGGAATAATTAATAAGAATATAATTTTTTATAAACGTTTGTGTGGTATGGGTTACATTCCCTGCGTTGGTGACAATGTAGTGACTGAAAGCATAGAAAGCGATCAAGGACAGTACAAATGGAGATCGTTGACTATAACTCCATTAATGCAGGTAAGATTTTAGTTATTGCACGATTGCATTATTATATAATTTCTAAATTTCTTGTTTTTTTTTCTTATTTTAGACTCGAAAAAAATTAATTAACTTAACAACGAATAATATTCCTCCTTCCATATTAGATATCGAATTATTAAAAAACAAATATGGTATTGTCATAGATGACAAATTAGAATTTAATTTGGACATAGAAGAAGAGGGTACTCTGGAGATTTCGATACAAAATAATGCCAGTTATGCTCATTTATTGCAAAGTAGTTCCTTTGTGCCACAGAAGACTCCATCTCAGTTGTCACTAGAGTCACCAATATGTACAAGTATTAGCACAGTGATAAATCCTTCAGAAAGCGTTACTTATACATTCAAATGCAAACCACAATTTATTGGTACGTCCGAGGAACAATTTATCTTTAATTTCAAAGACTTCAAGATAGCTAGAGTGTTTCATATAAATATCAATACAAAGAATATTTCACAAGTTTCACAAAAGTTCAATTCCGCATCTATTCAACAAAAAAGGGAGAAATTTTGTTTACCTGACTTGAATGAGTTAATTGAAACTACATGTATTCCTGGAGTAAGACCATCTAAACCGCCTGCATTTGTTAAAATACGCAATGGAATCTTCAAAATACCACGATACCTTTGGAATACAGTCTATGATGTGATGCAGAATAAAGTGTCACCCACGGAACGCGAAATCGCTATCGGAGAACAGATACCTTGTCTTCAAAAAGAACTTTCTTTTGAAACGTACAAGGACCGTTTTCACATTTTATTGTTTCTGGAAGAAATAAGTTTAATAATACACATACAAAGATATAACATGAAAAGTGCGATTCTGCGACGATGCGGTGATTATCTTATGCTTAAAGTGCCAGGATTAACAGAAAAACGACCTTCCCTCATGATTGGTGATAAAGTTGTAATATCTTTTCAGTGGGATGGCTCTAAAGGTAATATTTATAAGAAGTTTAAAAAGTTTTATATTATATTATATTTTATATTATATTTTTATATTATATTATATTCATACATAGTCACTACGAAAATTGTACAATATATTATATTTATTAAAAGTTTAGTGATATATGATATTTATTGGAAAGAGCGGATAAATATTTACTATTTATTAT